TATGGATCCTTGTCTTCCAGTAAAAGTGTTGCAGTTATTTGTCTAGATAACCATCAGAAGATATCTAAGAGAAGTCTGACATACAAAATTAATCTATATCAATCTGGATCAATATTTCCTACTTACATTAGGCTTCATGTCCGTGTGTATACTTACATGTTAAAAGCTATCACTGAGTTTCAATCACTGTATTGAGAAACTGAAAACTAGTTTCCCTGCACAAATACTGCTTGATGTGTTGCCTTCATGAAAGTCTTTCAAATCATTGAACCTCAGTTTTCAAACTCACACTGATTGTTAGTCTTGTTCATGCATCACAGAGTAAAGTCAACATAGTCTTAAGTATCTGCTATCTTTATTATTTGAGCACAACTCTATACTGCTTAAATCAAGGGACACAACTGTGTACAAACACAAGATAATGTTAGACAACATTAACACTGATGACTGATCAGAAATGATTAATCTAAATCCATTTTTTTTTTATTTCTTGCTTTGATCTTAAGCATTACCTTTAGTTTTCCAATAGTGTGATGTCTAAAATGACCTACAATCTGTTGTTAAGTGGGCATGAAATGGCTTGTTAATTTTAATGCTTCCAAAACAAAACTGTTCTCTTTTAATTATCTTATAGAACCATTTTGATCTTCCATCTTCAAAGCCGATGCCAACCTCAAAAAAAGTAACCCATTGTGCTTTCTTGGGCAAATGTTTTCCCCTTTCATGAAGTTGAAATATATTGAATCAATTGCCAGGTCTGCTGCTAGGAAGGTTTGTTTCCCTGCACCATGTTAGACAACTTTTCTTGCTAGAATTCTATTTTGCACCTTTATAAGCCTACCATTCTTCCATGCATTGAGTATTGCTGCCACATTTGGTCTGGTGCTTCTGCCATTTATTTAGAGATTCTTGATAAAATACAAAGAAGAATCTGCAACCTGGCATCTCAGCTTCAGTCACTTTCACACCGCCATAACATAGTGTCCCTGTGCCTTTTCTATAAATATTTTTGTGGTAATTTTTCTGATGAACCTTCCTTTTTACAAGTTTAAGTACAGTGCTAGATTGGCAGTTAAGTCTCATCATTTTAGAGCTGAAATAGATACATGTAACACAAAGAAGTTATATGATGACAATTCTTACTTGTGGAACTCTGTTCCATCTTCTTACTTCCCACTTAACTTTGATCTTTAAAAATTTAAATGCAATGTCAGTTGGTATATTTTGTTTTTTTAATTCTTGTTCTTTTATTTTTTTTTCTTGTTAATAATGTTTTTCTTTTTCTCGTATTCGTTCGCACTCATTAACCCCTTGCACCTTAGTGGACTTATTGCCTTGTATGGGGTGAAATGATTAAAAAAAATAATACAGCTGGTAGTTATGACCCAACACAACTAACAAATGATAGGTCATCATTCTATCAAATCTTGTAATGGGTCTTTTATTCTCACTATTAGATTCAGAATATTTTAACAGACTAAGCTAACGTTTAGTAAATATTCATATCAATCTTTGATATAATCAGACCAGCATATATATTGGAAAATAATTGTACCAGTTTCATATAATTGATATCATCATAATATATATTTTGGTAATTAATTATATCAGTCTCTTATATCTGATACCATTATAATCTCATATATTTTAGTAAATATACGTATTGGTATCAAATATCTGATGATATTGTCTATTTTAGTAAATATTTATATCAGTTTCATATATTTGATACCATCACAGTCATATATATTTTTATGAGAATATCAATCTCATGTATTTAATAATGATATTATATTAATGGTTGTGCTATGTGATAAAGGATATTATCCATTTGAATTTCCTCCATTATAGGCAATATTATATCCATGATATAATAACACCTTAACACACAAACAAAACAAAATTGCTGAAAGAAAAGAAATGACAAAATGCTTTGTTCCCAAAGAGGTCTTTATAATTTATAATTCTATTTTTACATTTAGACATATATAATTTGTGTGGATGTGTGCTTTTGTACATTTTTTTATATGTGTATATATAATTTTTTTCCATTTATTTATAATATTTTTACTTTTTTTTAACAAACTCTGTAAATAATGAGGACTACTCCACTATTATTATATCTATGTATATGTATTTCAAATGGAATATTTATATTATATATAAAATATTACATGTGTGTGTGTATATATATATATATATATAAAAGTGAACATTGAAGTCAACATTCAGAGGTGACAGACTGTTTCATGCTAGACACAATCATCAGGCTCTGAAAGTTAGATTTTCAAATTCAACATTCACGGCATGACGATTGTGTAGAGCATGAAACAGCCTGTCGCCTCTGAGTGTTAACTTCAATGTTCACTTTTATATTTTTTATTTACATCCACTCTATTTCTGATATTCAGCATTTTATCCTATAAATATAGCACACCCTAAAACTATATTTCTTATATATATCTATTACAAAATACAATATATGTGTGTATATATATATATATATATATATATGTTACTGTGCTACTGGTGAGGGAAAATGTATATTTATTATTAATATGTAATTTATAGATCTGTTATTCTACACTGACCACTATTTTATTAGCTTCATCACTCAATGTGTGGTATTATATATTTCTATGTATGTATATATTAGAAAATACTATATATATATATATATATATATATAAATTTTGAACACCTATATGATATACCATTTATACATACGCAAATATACATAAATAGATAGCTTCATGATATAGAATGTAATATGTAAGTAGAAATTTGTGTCATTCCATTCTTAATGAGCTATGCAATGCTAACTCATGGTAAGTGCTGTTCTTGGTAAAAAAAAAGAAAGAAAATTAAATTCTTATGAAATGCAGAAGAGCATGTTCTTTTTAAAAATCTATTTTTCTGTGACCTAGAAATTTTTCCAAACTGTTTTTTTTATCATATTTTTTCTATGTACTTGTTAAATATACTCAATTTTGATCTTATTCATTGCCAATCAGACACACGAGGGTTTTTCTCAGAGCTGAATTTGTGCAAATGATCTGTCCTCCTGAACGATATACACAGACAGAAATTTACTTACTGTATACTTACTGCCAAATAGAGTTTCTCTAATGTTTTGCTTCAAAAAGGTCATCTCCATACATAACCTCAATTTACGAGTATGAAAATATTGTTTTTAAAGACGTATCCTAGCAATGGGTCAAATAATAATGTAGAGTGGATGGCAGCTAGTCTAGGAGAAGGATAATCATAAATTCAAATCCATGGAAGAGGCAACAGGAAACCACTCTACCATCCTTCCCACGAAGTCTTAGCAATCCTCAAATAATTAAAAAAAAAGAGTTTGTTGAAGGATATGATTGCTTGCAGGGAGATGCCAATTAAAAAAATATCCCAGTTTTAGCGCAAAGATTTTGCTGGTTTTATTAGATGTCAGGAAGCCATCATGAAGCAATAATTGTTATTATCAGTTGTTACTGAATCAAAAATAATCAGTGGCAAGAAGACAATGTAAACATAATAAGCAAAAGTGTACTGGAAAAGTGAAAACTAAGCAAACGAAAACTTTATTAGAAACAAAGAAAGGAGTGCTGAACTGCTATATTTTATCAGTCCTCCTATAAGGCAATGAATGCTGGGCAATCTTCTCACAGCTAAAGAAGAGACCTGATGCAAGAGATATGTGCTTCTATAGAAGGATGCTGAGAATACCATGAACAGAACATGTGAGTAACAAAGACATTTTAAGGAAAATGGAAACAAAAAGGACACTTTAAATCAGAAAGAGATAATTGTACTTTTTGTGAAGCATAATGAGAATTTAATATTCACAGGATGCATTGAAGACAAGAAAAGCAAAGAGAAACAGTGAGTAACCTACCTTCAGGTAGGTTACTCACTGTTTCATCCTTGAGGATGGAACAAGGGTCTACTGGCCCACTCCTGAATCTATGATATAAGGCCCCTCATTCTGCTACATCTCAGTTTTCATAGGGTAATATCCATATAAAATACAAATTTTATTGTAACTTAATTACATACAGTAATGTATCATATACAATAGAGGTGAACAACAGAAAATCTTTAAATAAATACAATATATCTAAATACAAATTAGAGACATATCTTAATAGATTATTCCATCTTAAACAAATTAACAATGTTTTTATGTTTTGTCTAATAAAATAAAACAGTTTTACAGGTAAATAGCTTTCTCACATCCACTATTATGACTTTTCCCAGCAAATGGCTACAAAAAGGACACTTATACTTAACATGAGGAAGAAAGAGAGCTGAAATTTCTGGGGCACATAACGAGGAAGGAGAGTTTGGAAAATCTGATACTCACAGGACTGATTGAAAGTAAGAAAGACAGAGAAAAGCAATGCTCAACCAACTTGGCGAGCTTGAGTAAATGGATGGCAGAGTAGAGTTTGGGAGAGATAGTAAAAACAAAAAATTTATTAAGAGCTACAAAGGACAGGAAATTGTAGAGAGGCATAATCACCAACGTCCTGACAAAGATGACTAAAAAAGAAAACCAAAAATCTCTTCTTAGTTATTAATTTTTGTTCTTGTAACATGTTTGTTTTTATTTCTTTAATACTATTTTGTAGCCTTGCAAAAATATTTAAAACTTTATACTGAATTTTTATTTTTTATAATTATTACAAATTTTTACAGTATGTTAATGGGTTGAGACAATTTTTGCAGTAGGTTAATAGGTCAACACAATTTTTACAGTAGGTTAATGGGTTAATTTTTATTTCTATTTTTTACAATTATTACAAATTTTTACAGTAGGTTAATAGATTAATAATTTTTACAGTAGGTTAATGGGTTAACATAATTTTTACAGTAGGTTAATGGGTTAACACAATTTTTACAGTAGGTTAATAGGTCAACACAATTAATACAGTCGGTTAATGGATTAACACAATTTTTACAGTAGGTTAATGATTTGAGAATGTTGAGAATGCTTAGTCATATCGTGTTGAAACACCAACTCCCATATGATCACTGAAGTTAAGCAATGTTGAGCCTGGTCAGTACATAGATGGGTGACTACTTGGGACTAAGAGGTACTGTAAGCTTGGATGTGAGGTTGGTGTAATGGATAATGGTTTGGAATTGTTAAATGAAGATCCAAGGTTCAATTCAAGTGTGGTTTCTTATATTCACTTACATGGAAATATCCTTGGGAAAAGTGTGAATCCAGCCCAGCTATGGGTAAATTGGTCAGACTTGTATCACTAAATTATTATTATCTCCTACATAAATTTTATAATCTAAAAATATTTTATGGTTTTAAATAATCTGCAATGGGTTGATAAGTTGTAAAAAATGTCCATATATGCTGCCATCTATATATTTATACTAATGTTGTTGGTGTGCATCAAATTGAAGCAGGTTTCCTACAGGGAGTTCAGTGGAAATATTTGCTAGACCAAGACCATCTTTTGGGGGTACCCTGTGAGGATCAAACTCACTAATAAATATCTCTGACATCAGTTTGTTAATTATAGTGAAGTGTCCTTTTTTCATGATAAACATAGGTTATGATACACTTGTTTATTTAAACAAGCATCTCCATCATGAGTGTTACTGTCACAATATTTCGGTTATTGTACCCCCCCTGCTCTTCTTCAGGTCTTAGTTGGTAAGATTCTGGAAATTTTGAATCAAACCCTTCATTCATTTCATAGAAGCAAATTGTTCTAATTTCACTGTCCATACTAGAGGACATCTTATATCAATCAATTCTTCCAGCTTCTCACTTTTTCATTGTTAATTCATCCTTACAAGATTGTTGTTTTTGCTTACACAAAATATATAATTACCTTTTTTAACTTGTAAAAATTAACTAATACAAATTATCCCCATTAGTGTGAACAGATGAATGAGAATAATCTCTGCACATTGATTGAATAAAGTGTTCCATTAAAAGTTCTTAGGTTAACAGTTATAACTGACATCAGAAGAAGGCAAGTGAGAAAAACAGTTATGAATGACATCAGAAAAATTCCAGTGTATATAACAGTTATGAATATAACCAAAAGAAGGCCAGTGAATATAAAAGTTATGAGTGACACCAAAAGAAGGCCAGTGTGTATAACAGTTAGGATTGACACTAAAAGTAGGTTTGAGTGTAAAACAGTTATGATTGATACAAAAAGGCATAAGATTATAACAGTTATGACTGACAACAAAATAAGGTAAGAGAACATAACAGTTATGACTGACACTAGAATAATGACAGTGAGTGTAACAGTTGTGAATAAAACCGGAAGGCCAGTGAGTGTAACAGTTGTGAATAAAACCGGAAGGCCAGTGAGTGTAACAGTTAGGTATGACACCAAAAGAAGGCAAGAGAGTGCAACAATTGTGACTGATACCAAAAGAAGGCAAGAGTCCACAACAGTTATTATTAACTCCAAAAGAAGGCCAGTGAATATAACTGCCAATAAGTTTAAGTAAATCATCATAAAAAATGGCAATGCCTGGTCTGGAAAATCCTGACAAGAATTAAACATAGTATAAGATTACCCCACTTGTCTACTAAGTAATTTCAGCTAATGATTGATAGATTTCATTACCAAAGCAATATATAAGAAAAGTGTAGAAGTCTTTTTCCCTTTCTATTTTTTTGGCATAGGTTGCCTTAGAGACGGACATATTTTATTTCTCTTTGATAACCTTTTTTTTCCCAGCAAACCTCATGTCACATAGAACAAAACATAATATAGTGCACAGCATACAATGCCCTAAGTCTACTTGACTACACACAGGCATGTCTAATACCTCTACTAAACAATCATCTGATCAGGTAGTCCTGCTATATATCTCAAGATTCTTGACAAAATCCAAAGAAGGCCTGTAATATTATCGGTTGTGACTTAGCATCTCAACTTCAGTCACTTTCCCTTCACCATGACATGGATTTCATCTGCTCTTCTATAAATATTTTAATGGCAATTGTCCTAATAAGATTTCCTCCTTGGTACCTTGTCCATATGAATTTAAGCATACTACACCTGATTGGCAGTTAGGTTTCATCATGTTACTATTGAATTAGCTAGATATAACCAAAAGTTCTCTACTCATAGTTTCTTTCCTTGCACTTCTTGCCTACAGATCTCTCTTCCAGCTTCTTGCTTATAATCTTCAAAAATTTAAATGCAACATCAATCATCATTTTATGTGTTCTTGAAATCTGTTCTTTTATTGCACGTTCTCCTCACTAATGTTTTCTCATTTCCTTTCACTCTCAGTAACCACTTGTGTCTTCGTGGCTTTATTGTCTTGCTTGGCGTGAAATGATGAAACAAAAAAGATAAAGAACTATTCTCAAATGTAAGTCTCTCATGGTCTTTCATAGGAACTTTACACACACAGACATATGTACGAAAAAGGCATCTCTACATAGACACCTTTAGTCAACCCTTTTCTGTTTAGTTTTGCTCAAGCAATAAAATATATTGTTATCAATTTTATATAATTGTTTTTACATTCATTCTTACTCTCTTGTTTTAGGAAACTACAATGCATCTGCTTCACTATATAGAAATATGTTCTCAACAAAAGATAAATATATTTAAATACTCATATGTAAAATCCTTTTCAAAATGATGACATAAAGTGAAAAGATTATATTGAATCCATTGCTATGTCAGCTGCTAAGAAAGTAGGTTTACTGTGTCATGCTAGACATTTTTTTCTCTCCAGAATTTATCTTACATATCTATAAGTCTACCATTCGTCCATGCTTGGAATATTGCTGCCACTTATCATCCGGTGCTCTTGATATATATCTAGAGCTCCTTAACAAAATACAAAGAAGAATCAGCAATATTATTGGTCCTGTTCTGGTATCTTGGCTTCAGTCACTTTCCCACCACAGTAAAGTTGCCTCCCTGTGTCTTTTCTATAATACTTTTATAGTAATTATTTGGATGAGTTCTTCACTCTGGTACCTAAACTGGCAACAAAATTTCATTAATTTGCAATCAAGTTGACTAGATGTAAGCATAACTTGTATGTTAACAGTTTCTTTTCTCGCACTTCTCATATGTGGAACTCTCTTCTAACTCCATGCTTTTTAGCCAACTTTGATTTGTAAAAATTTAAATGCAATGTCAATCCCTATCTACTGTCCTCATGATTACTCTTCATTTGTTCGCATTACTTAGTAATGTTTTTGTTTTCTAATTCTTCTACACCCAGTAACCACTTGTGTCTCAGTGGCTTTACTGCCTTGCTTGGAGTGAACTCAATTAAAAAGAAATCTATTTTTTCTAACTTTTATATTAAGAGATTAATTAAATATCCCATCATTTTTTAAGCCTAGCTATACTAGTATTTTTCTAAGATTTTAGTAGACATAATTAAGGGGAATGGTTTTCTATTCTTATTAAGCCATGAACTGATACCCTAATTAATATTAATACATAATAATTCATTGGGGTATCTGGAGCAAAAACATTGAAAACTCACATTTAAAGGTAAGTGGTATTTAACCGAGCTAGCCACTGAGTGGGATGTGGCACAAGGCCAGCTTTACTAGGGTCTTTCTCAGCCCGTAGGCTTGGGCAAAAATTCCCCATAAACCCCCATATACACGGGGTCAAGTTTGTCTACCTCCCCAGATGAGAGTCTGTCCTTCAGCATAGCCTCATCTGGGTTCCTTGAAGGCAGAGAGGTTGACAAGCAGAGAAATCCAAACAAGTCCCTGACACACTCTGAAGCTGGAAAGCTAGGCCCCGTAAGATGTGAAGTCCTGTTATATAGTATTAACAACCACTGATAGATGTGCAGGTGCAATGTTTGACAGAATAAAATGCATGTTATTAGCTTTCCAGTATATTTTCTCCAAATGTGTCTCATATAACAAAATATCATAAATATTCTTCAGATCTTGTCTTTCACTCTTCAAATAGTCAAACATCCAGTATTATTAATTGTGATATATTTGGAAGGAATAGGTCAGATGCTTTCACTGGTTTCAGTGATGTTTGGTCTTGAGTTCAAATAGATAAATATAACTCTTATCTATTCTAATGAATTACTCCATCAAATTGGGTTGGAACAATAAAATTTATCAGAAGATTAAACTCAGCCATGCTACCTGGTAAATTGAACACTTTCTCATTAATATTTGTTTAAAATGAAACACTTTCTTGTTACTGTTTTTTGAATTAAATACTTTCCTATTACTTTAAAATTTTTTTAACCCTTTCCTAGCAAACACTATCTTATTCAATTTTAAAAAATTGAACACTTTCCCATTAATATTTTTAAACTGAACACTTTCCCATTAATATTTTTTAAACTGAACACTTTTCTATTAATATTTTTTAAATTGAACACTTTCCCATTAATATTTTTAAACTGAACACTTTACCATTAATATTTTTTAAACTGAATGCTTTCTCATTAATAGTTTTAAATAGAAAACTTTCTTTTTTTAAATTTAATATTTTTTCATTAATATTTTTAAACTAAATATTTTCTCATTAATATTTTCAAATTAAACACTTTTTCATTATTTTAAATCAAACAGTTCCTCATTAATATTTTTTAAAATTGAACACTTTCTCATTAATTTTATTGTTAATTGAACATTTTCACATTATTATTTATTTTAAATCAAACACTTTCCCATTAATGTTTTTGTGATGAGCAGTTACCTTTATTTACCTTTGAACTATTGTCCTAATCTTTGTTGTTAATATCACAAAGTTTCAACTTTTGTTTCTTCTGGCATTTTTTAGGTACTTTTCAATCCATGTAACCTTCAGGGAATTTCAAACTTATTTTTACTAAATGTTCACCTACCACAAGGCCCAAGAGCTACTCAAGGTAGATATTTACTGAATGAGGTTGTTGTATAGACATAAGAGGAGGAAGTAAGTTCAGATTATGAGGTCATGTAGGAGAGATAATGATTGGTTTGGTTTGTTTTAATTCATATCAACCTTGATAGGTTATTTAATGCCGACAAAATCTTTATTGCTGGTAATATTTTTTTTCAAAAAATATTGCTGGTAATTTTTTTTTTTTTTAAAAAGTATTACTGGTAATTTTTTTTTTTT